TACCCAACGCCCTCAAACCCCACTCTCCCTATCCCCCAAACCCCTCTCGCCATTTCGTACCCTTCGCCGGTCAGATATTTGCGAACACAGATTTGGCAACATCCGTGCCAGCCAGGGGAACCACAAGAACCACGAGAAGGGGCAAGCGTATGTTGCTGGGTTAAAAGCCGACCAGATCAGAAATGCACAACGATCGAAGCGCCGAATCACTAATCGTGGCGATGTGTCGTACAGTCTAGACCTAAACGGTGGCGAAGCCCCCGCTTTGCTGCCGGTTACTGCGAAAGAGCGCAAACACCTTATGTAGACTGAGCAGAGAGAGGGAGCTGTCCGCGTCTTCGAGGCCAGCAGATGCTGCCGGGTTGACGTAGACTTGTATTCGTGGAGTTGGAAGTTAGTTAGGCGGGGGATCGGTGGGAGGGGGGTTGGGGTGGGGGGAACCCACGGGGGGTGTACTCATACTCATAGTCGTGCATGCCGTAGTCGTTAGACCATTGACCTCACATCCCTACAAAGCCGGGACGGAACACGCCGGGTTCTCACCGGACCAGGCTCTCACATCACCAAGCGCGAAGCGCCGTGAGGTATTCGGCGAGTCGCATGAAGGGTGAGCTGCATCCTGCTAAGGGTGTTCGGCATCTTGTGCTTACTTCCTTGCGTACAGATGACAGCTGCGTATCACTTAAATTTATTTTCTGGTGCTTTCACTTCCAGAGACAGTTGTAAGCACTGTGCAGCTGCCTCGAGGATGTTTGACCAATTTAACGCAACGTGGTGCGATCATCCCCCTTGCACGGGGGGGGGACAGACTCTTTCTCCCTCCGCACCCATCCCCGATGTATTCTTCTTTGATTTTTTTGTGCACGGTTATGTTTTCCCAGTGTACAGCGTGTTTGATACGCGGCTCCCCTTTGATACGGCTGCCCTACACCCGGTCGGGAGTAACCGCCGAATTCCTGGCATGGAATAACCTGGCATAAAAGGGGTAGAATAAAGTGTCTATTATAGTTGATTTCCCGTGTGGGAAAGGAGACATATATGTCTAAGGTGTGCCTTGGGGAACGTCAGCCGGTTCCACCCCAGCGGCCAAAGAATGGCCGTGGTGAAACGATGGCTTCACGTGTTTGGTTTTTCCTCTTGCGTTGATACTTGATTATTTTGTCTACATTTTTTTGTATGGCGTCGCGCGCCGAGCGGGAGCACTGACCATCTGGCTTTGTTTTTTTATCCTAAGTCGCCTATGCGATGGTGTATAGGTCCCTTCTACTTCCTGTTTTTTTTTTCTTTTTGCGAAGGTGTTTGTGTGGGCCAGTTGTTTAGTTTTCTTTGTTTTCTTGTGGGTAGTGGCTCTGTGACCACAGAAGTTATCCGCAGCAGCGGAATCGGTTGTTGTCGATGTGAAGATAGAACACATCAACAACAACACGTGTGGCGCACACGCGGTTTCCTCTGCAATATTCTTGTTGTTTCACTGCAGAGCTTTGAGGTCATCGCCGACGACAGAGACCTCGTTGATGTAGTACACTGCTGAGTCCCTTTCTACGGGGTGTCCGTGTGCACGAAGCCACAAAAAGCTGGTTCATTGGTGAACGAATGATTTCCACGTCTCTTTCACCTTTCACCGGGAATCTAAATGGCAAAGAGAAAAAAAAATACAATCGTAGCCCAGGGGGCATCAACATCACCCATCTCCCTCATGCACTCACGTTATTGTCTGAAAGTTGGAGGTTTCATATTCCTTCCCCTCTCTGCTACGGCCCCCACCCCTGTGTCGAAGAAACGCCGCCACGGCAATACCGGTTCCGTTACCGTCCCCCGTTCCTCCGCTGAATCTACACTGATCCCAGGCGCGATGGCGCGCAAAATTGACTGCAACATAATCTTGTCGAAATTTGCACCGCTTGATCAGTTTCAGTCTTTTTACATGTCTTTGTTGCAATGAATGTCTGTTGTTGATCCCCGTGAATTGGGCTACCCCATCCGAGGTGGGAGGCTTGTCGATCCCCTCTCCCAAGATATTGAGGAGGAAAGCCCATAGTGCCAGGATCGTCTTCGCCACATAGTCCATCTTGCTCAACTTGACTACTAGCGGCTCCAACAAAGCCCTAAACCCCTCACACAGCCCCAGCGTGTCTTCGACAACGGACGAGACGACGGCTGGCCCGATCGGAAAGCTGTTAATTGCTCCCTTTGCCACTTCCGCGTAGACCTGCAAGCCAGGACGAATAGGATAAAATAGAGACAGCTCGTCAATAGAGACAGTTCGTCAAACGGAGGTCGAACCGCCTGACAGTTGTGCCCTTCACTACAGCATCGTCGGCTGGTGCTCTTCACCCGCAGTTCATGCCTAGGCCCGCCAACTGTGCATTATCTCGTTTGGGTCAAGGTGTGGCCGACTTGGGGAGGGGGGTGAGGTAACCCCCCTCGACATCCGTAGTGTTGGTTGTGACCCCGTTGGTTTAACGGGAAGTTCATGGATCAGAAATTCGCCACACGCAAGTTTGCACGTAAGGGGACCCCATAATCAAACCTTACATTGGGATTTGTTGTGTCTTCTTTGCTCTCTGACGCATCAATCAGGTCGGGCCTCTTCTCGGCTTGCCCGTACGCTGCCGACTTCGTCCACTACCTCCTCGATCTCTTCTGCCCCTGGATCATAATCGATATTCCTGGACCCCGTGACGATGAAGACATCACAGCAGACGTAGCATGGAGGGGGGGGGGGGCGTACTCTTATGTTTTGCATACCTTAGCGGTTAGACCATTGACCACGCGTCCTCGAGAGGACGGAGCATTGTTCCCACAGGACCGATCACCGATGGCCAATCGTTCCTTCCTACTTTGCCAAAGGTGGCTCAAAAATGTCTTCCCTAGTCTATCTATCCTATCGATATCCCTTCCCGCCTTTTCAAACCACTTCCTACTCCCCAGTACAGCTACCGTCCTCTCTTCTCTATTCCATGCCTCAAACATCTCATTGTACCTCCCTTGTATTTTCCCCAGCTCAGTCATGTGCACTTCCCTCTCCTTTTCGTACAACTGTCATTCCGCGACTACATGAACACGGTCTTCGCATTCGAAGCCGCAATCACATTTGAACTTGTCGTCTTCGTCGTCTACCGTCCTATGTCTTCGTCGACGTTCTCGAAGGCCCATGTCCCCGGTCCTGAATTGGACCTTAAGCTTTGTCCCTGCATCCATTGGTCCATGTAGGTAATCCTTGAACCTATTCCTTCTTTCAACATTCCGTACACTTCTAGACCCTCCTTATCCTCGGTTTCTTTCCTTAGATTCTGTTCTTCTCTCTCGGCACAAGCAACAGATATCTCCTCCTTGAACCCCTGTAGACCCTCCGTTTCCAGCGTTTCATCTTCGTCGATGTCGAACCCCTTCCATACGTCCTCTACAACCTTGACCCTTTCCGTGGGTTGTCTACCCCTCTTTTTGTTGGCCCACTTCGCCTCCCATACTATTCTCGGCAACCTCTCCTCTCCCATCCCGCACATGTGATACTGCCATGTCAGCTTCCTTGCGTCTCTTCCCGACCGTCGGGATCGGATCCCCAATTCTGCCCTGACGGCTGCATTACTTGTGCGCTTGGAGCATCCTAGGATGATTTTCGCTGCTTTCATCTGCGGCGCCTCGAGTTCTTTCACTACCTTCCTATTCCCTTCCCATACTTCTCCGGCGTACTCTGGCGGCGGTACGATTACGCTCTTCAAAACCGACAATCTGATGCGTGTATCGAGGTGCCGGTTTGCGAGTATTGGGTGCAGCTTCCCTGCTCGTGCTGTGCCCTTTTCCGCTACCTTGGACATGCGTGCATTCCACGAGCAGTCTTTTGCGATCTCTACTCCGAGGCATGTGTACTGGTCCACTACTGCAATTTCCTCGATCCCCCACTTCCATCTATATTCTACTGGTTCCTCTCTGTCCTCGTTGCATACAATGACGGCACTCTTCTTAACGTTGGCAGATAATCTCCGCTTATCAGTAAGCTTCTTCGCAGCGTAAATTTGCAGTTGCAGTCCCTCAGGGGTGTCCGACATACCAACAAAATCGTCCGCGAACAGCATTCCTGACACCTTTCCGTGTCCCCTACTTTTACTCCCTTCCGGACTGCCTCTACGGAGGGGGGGGCGCGGCAATAATGGTGGCACTCACTTTGCCCAGAACTCAGCGGAGTCGGCGATATCGCCTTGTGAATATCCTGAATTAGGGAAATTACAAGTGACTCATCGGCATTCCCTTGTGCAGTTAGCGCACGCATTTGAGAACCTCGAATTTTGGCCGAGACTGAGGTTCTTATTTTGTTCCTGGCTGCGATGGGCGCTATATACCAGACTCTAATGGAGAGGTTCTTAACCGGGCTCCCAAATGGTGCTCAAAGTATTATGTTTCGATGAATGTTGAGCATAAAGTTCCTTCGATAAATGTAGGCAGCGAAAGGTTTGGGTTGTGCAGGGGTGGCTGCTTGGCCAGTCAGAGGTTGCTTAGGAGTTGTGCGGCCGACCGATACAAGGGACGATAACAAAAAAGAGAGGATAACCACGAAAAAAACAATATCTTACCTCTGCTGTGCTTCGGAGGGAGCCGCCTCTCGTTGTCACTTGGTGAAGGCCTCTCACCGTCACGGAAACCTTCAAGGGTCTGTCCATCACCGCTACTGTCAGAACCCTGGGCAAACAAAATACGAGGTCGATTACATGTAGTATCACCCTGTTTACAGATCTGTAATTCGGCAAATAAATTCGGTGAGGTTCGCTGGGGTCTTATCGCCAAAATACATGTCAACCGTACTGTTAGGGGTGCTAATCCGGCCTCGTATGCGCGTAAAAAGGAGTCCTTCTGACGACGCCGAACATCAAACTACTTGATTATAGACCGCTTTCATGTTCATTTTTGGGACAAAAGTCCTTGCACCCAGGGACATGTTGGGCCTTCACACTCTACACACACCTGTGTACGGGCAGTGACCAGAATATCATCAGCTCCGATTTTCATTTGGATAAAGAGGGCGCCGCAAAAGAGCAGAAAACCTCCGATTTTGACACTTTTTGCTCCGTTTCCTTTCCTCTCGGTGGAGTAGCTGCGACACGCGAGAATCGGAGCTTATAGTGCGCTGCCTTGCGAGTCAGAGCCGACAGCACAGAAGGAAGAAGTTCAATCGCGCACGCAGTTCGGCAGAAGTAGTGCCTCAAAAATGTGCACTTTTGCCCAAAATCTGGCTGAAGGTTCCGTCCGCTGGGCACGGACGAGCGGGAAAACCCCCCGTCTTTTTTGGGTGCAAAGGCAACACAACAGCATTCGTCATGCGCGAGTAAGAGGTTCTGCTGCCGCGACCACCCTACGCGGGAACAGCTGGGTGTGCGTTTGCTACTCCCCAGCGATTCGTGCGACTGCTGAACTGGAGATGGATGGGCGTGTGTGGAGTTAGGAGTCTACGCTATAGAAAAATTGAAGTTGAAAATTTCGGCTTGTGTTGCTGCCAAAACTGCTGCTGTTCAAAATATGACGTGACCGACACAGCACTTCGATCCAACCCTTGCGAACTTCGGAAACTCACCGAAAGGAAGATAGAAGAGCACAGGAGTACACCCGCAGCATAGACTGACAGTGCGGAATACGTAATCTCACTCTAGATCCAGGGCCTCTCTATGCTCGCTGATGTGTGTGATATGTGACGAGTCCGCGGCGGATGCTGATGTGGCTGCACTGCTGAAAGCGACCGAACCCCAAAGTGTCCTTCGCAACAGCCCCGCGCCCGCGGTACTCTTAACCTAGCGTCCAGTGTGCACGTGGCCAACCCTCTGATCCGTCCTGCTTCCTGCCGCTCTTCTTGACCGCTGTGGGAATGATGGCTATGCATACTGGATACGCATGCCTCATCTCGTTTCCGGGGTCGAAAAGGCGGGACTGTTCAACACCCCCCCCAATCAGCGCCCACGTTCCGGCCTACTGTAAAGTGGACTCCAGCACTCCAACGCGGGAGTACAGCAGTACGTACATTAGTTCGTACGATCAAATTCCAATATACTCTTAGGATCCGCCCATTGAGACCAGGATAAAATTGGAATAGATAGATAGGGTTACGATGTGTAGAAGTTTTAGAGACGGCTGCATCAGGGAGATCAGATTGCCGCAACGAAGAGAAAATGAGAGGATCGATTATTTTTCAGTTTTCAGCACATGACACGAGTCTTTGTCTGCCACAGGTCTATGCGGCCATCCTTTTTCCAACTCTTTTTCGGGAAGGATGAAATATCTATTATAGTATTCCTCACCTGTACGCACTGGACTAAACGAGTGGATGTGGGGCCGTGTCCTTGCAAGAGGTCTGTCAACGCGGCGAAATCGACAGAGGTTCGAATGAGTCATCGTTGTAGAGGAGGCCGAAAAAGAGACGAGATTTTCTCAAAAAAAGTAGTGCCGTTTTGCCTGCACGAGTGGGTGCACGCCGCTTGCTTGTAGCAGCTGTGTTCCCATCCAACCCACTCCAAAATCGCTCGCGGGAATTCCGAGAACTTCCACCTTAGAGCCAATGACATTTTCCTCTAGAATACGTACGTACATTGTCCAACTCGCGTACATGATGAATCTACAAATAGGTTAAACAAATTGCAGCAATAAAAAAAGCCACCGGGACAGATGTAACTTGGCGCCCGCCAATCAACTGTCTCCATTAAACTTGGCACTTTAGCGTTGTGTCCATTTTCGAGTAATTTTGACAATTACACCGATTGATTGACTATCCCCCCCCCCGTCTCTGCACCATCAAATTGAGGTTTTGAAGAGCGTAGTCGTACCGCCGCCAGAGTACGCCGGAGAAGTATCGGAAAGAAATAAGAAGGTAGTGAAAGAACTCGAGGCGCCGCAGATGAAAGCAGCGAAAATCATCCTAGGATGCTCCAAGCGCACAAGTAATGCAGCCGTCAGGGCAGAATTGGGGATCCAATCCCGACGGTCGGGAAGAGACGCAAGGAAGCTGACATGGCAGTATCACATGTGCGGGATGGGAGAGGAGAGGTTGCCGAGAATAGTATGGGAGGCGAAGTGGGCCAACAAAAAGAGGGGTAGACAACCCACGGAAAGGGTCAAGGTTGTAGAGGACGTATGGACGGGGTTCGACATCGACGAAGATGAAACGCTGGAAACGGAGGGTCTACAGGGGTTCAAGGAGGAGATATCTGTTGCTTGTGCCGAGAGAGAAGAACAGAATCTAAGGAAAGAAACCGAGGATAAGGAGGGTCTAGAAGTGTACGGAATGTTGAAAGAAGGAATAGGTTCAAGGATTACCTACATGGACCAATGGATGCAGGGACAAAGCTTAAGGTCCAATTCAGGACCGGGGACATGGGCCTTCGAGAACGTCGACGAAGACATAGGACGGTAGACGACGAAGACGACAAGTTCAAATGTGATTGCGGCTTCGAATGCGAAGACCGTGTTCATGTAGTCGCGGAATGACAGTTGTACGAAAAGGAGAGGGAAGTGCACATGACTGAGCTGGGGAAAATACAAGGGAGGTACAATGAGATGTTTGAGGCATGGAATAGAGAAGAGAGGATGGTAGCTGTACTGGGGAGTAGGAAGTGGTTTGAAAAGGCGGGAAGGGATATCGATAGGATAGATAGACTAGGGAAGACATTTTTGAGCCACCTTTGGCAAAGTAGGAAGGAACGATTGGCCATCGGTGATCGGTCCTGTGGGAACAATGCTCCGTCCTCTCGAGGACGCGTGGTCAATGGTCTAACCGCTAAGGCATGCAAAACATAAGAGTACGCCCCCCCTCCCCCCCCCCCCC